AGCCAGTGTGCGATTTCTTTTAAGTGCCCAATATCTCTGCCCATCAGGTAAAAGGCAGGCACGGTTGCAGAAACCTTTCTCCTAGCCCTGAGAAAGCAGAGATAAAGCAGATGTGATGGTGTGGTGTATATCTTTAGTCCCAGGGTTTGGGAGGCAGAGGCCAGCCTGGTCTACACAGTGAGCTCCAGGATAGTCAGGGCTACATAATAGAGATCCTGTCTTAAAACACACACACACAAAGCAAGCAAGCAAGCACACAGAAGCAAGAGGATCACTTGTGAGTCCAAGGCTAGCCAGGGATACACAGTAAGGTTTTATCTCAGAAAAAAGAAAGGGAGGAGAGAGGGAGGCAGGAAGGGAGGAAAGGCACAAGAGCCTGTGTCCTCCTCCCCTCATCAGCTCTTGACCTATTATAGGTTTGTCAGATCTTTTTCCTGACAGCCCAGGGCCATCCCTACTCTACCTTGAACTATTATAACCTGCTGAGACCACTCCACTTTCCACTTGGCCTGACTTTATGTTTTTCAATTGATAAACCTATAGTTGGAACAGTAATGCACAGAATCCATGAGAGGGGGAGTGGGGGCAGAGGTCTACCTGTCCTGAGGTCTTTCTGGCCATGAGGACCTAAACATCAGTGTTGGCCCTACAAGTCCATCAAAGTACAAGGTGCTAGACAAAGCAGTGGTTCTCAACCTTCCTAATTCTGTGAGCTTTCAACACAGTTCCTCATGTTGTGGTGAGCACCAACCATGAAATTACTTTTGTTGTTATCTCACAATTGTAATTTTGTTACTGTTAGAATCATAATATCAATATCTGTATTTTCCAACGGTCTGAGGCAACCCTCGTGAAAGCGCCATTGGATCCCAAAGGGGTGGTGACCCACACGTTGAGAACCACTGTGCTAGAGGACCAGCTTATGACAAAGGGATTATCATCTCAAATGCTGTGTCCTTCAACACACACTCATAAGGGACTCATGAGACACCTACTTGGAAAAGATGACCATCAGCTTCCTCCGGCTTCTTCTTGGCTCCGAGTCCTCATCAAAGCCATCCATGTCCTTCCCCAGGAAAACTTCCTGGTGGAAGTCCCTGTTCAGGTGTCCGTCCATCTCCAGTTTCACCCCATTCAAATGGTCTGGGGGTAGGATCTCGTTTTCCTCCCTGTTGGTCGCTCTTTCCCGGGTGGATGAGTGGTTGGCTGGTCTGGCAGCTGCATCCATCAGGAGGACAAGGCCCAAGAGCCAGAGGCCATGAACAGCCAGACCACAGAGGGAACTCTGCCTGGACGTCATCGCCACCAGTCAGACCATGCGACTCCTGCAAGGTGTGAACCAGAAGTAGCAGTAAGGAAGAAAGGGAAACCACAGATCAAACTAGAGCCTGGGGTACGAAAGTTCTGGGTTACTAGCACTGCCAAGAAAGCCCAAGGCTGAGGGCAGGCTCAACCTGACAAAGACAAACCAGGCCAGGTGATGATGGCGCATCCCAGCACCTGGTGACTCTATGAGTTTGAGGTCGGCCTGGTTTACAGATCAAGTTTCAGGACAGCCAGGGCTACACAGAGAAAATATGCTACACAGAGAAAGAACATATTTATTTTATAACATGATTTAATAATCAGGATCAACCACATATTCAAGCAGGATATGATGGCATTCACCTTTAATCCCAGAACACAGGAGACAGTCACAGGCGGAACTTTATGAGTTCAAGGCCAGTCTGGCCTACAGTGCTCTGAGCTGGCCATGGATAAACAGAAAGATTCTGCTTCAAAAATTCATGCATATGGAGCTGGTATTGGTAGCTCAGTCCTGGGGGTTGATCCCCAGCACCACAGAAAAAGATGAAGAGGGAAAAAGGAAAAAGGAAAGGCAACAGGTGGTATTTTTTACTTTTTAAAAAGAAACTGGAGGGATGTAACAGGAATGTTCTTTGGGCCACCAACCAGCTCCCAAATAAAGACAGAGAGACTTATTATCAATTAAGAATGCTCAGCCTTAGCATAGGCTTCTCCCACCAGCCCTTTTTAACTTAGTTTAACTTGTCTCTATTCATCTATATGTTGGCTCAGGGATTTTTACCTTTCTTTAATTCTGTATGTCCCACTTTGCTGCTTCCTCTGACCCCTGGCATCTCCCTGTTGTCTTTCTTTCTCCTGGATCCTAAATTCCTCCTCCTACTTCATCTCCCTGCCTGGAAGTTCCACCTATACTTCCTCCCTTGCTATTGGCCATTCAGTTTTTTATTAGACCAATCAAGTGCCTTAGGCAGGCAAGGTAAAACAGCAACACATCTTTACATAATTAAACAAATATTCAGCAACAGAGGAAGGCACTTGGCCAGGCTGAAGTCCCAACTCAGTTGTCACCACTTCCAGATGCTGATCTAGTCAGTATGCCACCTCTACATATCAACAGTACAACCTGCCAACAACACAGCAAGGCAAAACTGACCCCCTCCCTCCCTGGTTACTATTACAATGTTTAGTAGATAGCTGTGGTCACGCACTCTCCAGAGCTTGGCTAAGTCTTCTGACCTCTGTGTGTCTGTTTCTTACTAATCGCCCCCTACTTTCCACCTCAGTGTTTTGTGTGGAGTGGGGACACACACTGTGTGCCGAATAACTGAAAACCAGTCATCAGCAAACACCTGCACCAACCCAACAGAGACTACACACATACATTCACACGTGTGCCTCCATCAACATGTATCACTTAGGAAACGCTAGGAAAGCTGAAATGCCCGTGAAGTCTTATTTGACCAGAACGTGGAAAACACATTTACTTCTTCCCAGTCTATCTTCCTGCCAATTTGCTGGCCTTCCAGGTGCAGCCTGGTCCCACCTATGTGCGGTAGCTGTCTCCTGTTCTGCCCCTGGAAAGGACCTTGTCAGACTTAGCTTCTTTTTCCCAACACTGCCAAGCTATTAGAACCTAAAAGACATTCAATCAATGTTGTCTTCAGAGACACTAAATATTACTCAAAAGCATAGAGTAAATCCACTGGAACAGTACTTAAGATGTGCCCTGGGAAGTACAGCCTACCAAGAGCCAGGAGCTAAAGGAGACTGTTGTCACCCAAGGCAAGGAGCCCCGAGATATGGTTCTATTCCTGATGTCTCTACTCTTCTGGCCATGGAAACACTAGAACCAATGCAACTTCCCCGGGTGTTAATTATACTTTGCTCCTTGAAGAACAAAGTTCTCAATTCTAACTATTCTGATAAACTATGTGGAACAGTCACTTATATATCATACATAAAAAGCAACCCAAAACAACCAGGACTCCATCAACTTACTTCCTCATACTGGTTCAGTTTTTTCCTTGCCCATGCTAGGCAAGAGTCCCCACTACTACCCCACAATGGTTATTTATCTTAATGCAAAAGTTTGCAGTATAGCTAAGCAAGTTGGGCAGCTGCTCTCTTCCTCCCCACCTAACCTGAAATCCCTAAGTCAGGATTTCAAGGAGCTTCATCTTGTCATAGCCCCTATACAAATCAGCTCTCAGCAAGTGGTCAACAGAGAAGTTACTAAGACCTTCAGAGGTGACAATGGTACCTCCTGACCTGGCATCAACAGCAGTCCAGTGACACATATATCAAAATAAGTCACAACTGTTCTATTTTATGATTAGCTGTTAATCTCTGTCTGGGCCTAATTTATAAGTTAAATGTTGCTGTAACTATAAACCTGAGTTTCCGATTTCAGGAACCCACAGAGTGGTTGGGGGAATATTTGTACTTCTTTGCCATCCTTACAATTACAACTCTGATGAAACCAGGCATTTTTTTTTGTTGTTGTTGTTGTTTGCTTGCTTTTGTTTTTGTTTGGGACAGGGTCTCACTATTGAGCCTTGTTTGGCTAGGAACTTGCCAAGTAGAGCAGGCTGGACTTCAAAGTGTTGTGCAAACTTCCTGCCCATTGGGATTACAGGCAAGAGGATCAGAGTTCAAGGCCAGCAGCCTCAGCTAAATTCCAGCCAATCTGAGCTATGTGAGACCCTGTCTCAAAACTCACAATAACAACAGCAAAAAGGAAAAAAAATCAAAAGAAAAAAAAACCATCACAATCTAAAAAACAGCTACATAATCTAAAACCGTCCAAAGGCTGTTGGAGGACTGGTGTCTTGGCCCAGTTAGTAGAGTATTTGCCCCGCATTTGTAAGGTCCTGGATTCGATCTCCTCCAGCAACACAAAATAAGGATGTAAATAAAAATAAATAAAAGCTCTGTCAATTTAGGAACTGCACTCAATAGTACCAAACAGAGCTACCACCAAAGCCGGGCCAGGTATGAAGGTTTTAGCACAGGCCTTCAATTTCCAACTCGTAGAACTAGAACTCATGGCGCACATTTTACCGAAGACAAAACCGGGATAGAGATGCTGGAACACAAGTTGAGGTCACAACGCCAGCCGGTAACACAGCCCGAGCCTCAGTCCCCCGCGGCTCCGTGAGTTCCGGAATAAGCAGCCGGGCAAGAGGGCGGGCCACTCATAACAGGGCGACGGCGGGGTCAATCGGGATCAGACCCAAAGCGACCCGAACGGTGGACGCGTGACCTTCCAAGCCCGCCCCTCACAAAGCAGCTTCAGGGACCCCTCACTCACCCCCGGCTTTCTGGAGCGCCGGGTCTAGGGAGCGCAGCTGGGCGCCCGCAAAGTCTTACGCGGACCTAGACTCAGGCCGCCGCCATCTTTCTTCCGGGAAGGGGCGAGTAAGACAACTGGGAACCGTGAGAGCGGGCACGGCCTCTGGAGCGAATCTCGAAGGCGCCATCTTTATCATGGGCGGAAGCAGCCTCCGAGAACCAACCAATAAAGCTGGCGCGCGAAGTCACGTGCCACGCATCCTTGACCCAGGCCTCGCCTTCCACGCCGCCCCGGCTGTCAGATTCAGGCACCCAGTAAGCGAGTTTCTCGGGGCTCCTCCTACCGCTACCAGGGCGAGCCCGCTACGCGGGTCTCCGAGTAGCGCAGGCGCCTTCCAGCCTCCGCGCTTGCGCACTCGGCGACCTCCCGCCCGCACCATGAAGGTACTCCGGCGGGCTTGGCGGCACCGGGTGGTGCTGGCCCTGAGCGGCCTGGCGTTTTGCAGCACCACGCTGTTGTATTTGGCGCGCTGTGCATCCGAGGGCGAGACGCCCGCAGCCGCCGGAGCCGCTCAGCCCCGCGCTAAGGCCTTCCTGGCGGTGCTAGTGGCTAGTGCGCCCCGCGCTGTGGAGCGTCGCAGCGTCGTGCGCAGCACGTGGCTGGCACAGGGGAGGCGCGGCGGCCCCAAGGACGTGTGGGCGCGCTTTGCTGTGGGCACCAGCGGCCTGGGCTCAGAGGAGCGGCGCACGCTGGAGCTCGAGCAAGCACAGCACGGGGACCTGTTGCTGCTGCCCTCCCTGCGCGACGCCTACGAGAACCTCACGGCCAAGGTCCTGGCCATGTTGACTTGGCTGGACGAGCACGTAGACTTCGAGTTCGTGCTCAAGGCGGATGACGACTCCTTTGCGCGCCTGGACGCCCTACTGGCAGAGCTACGCGCACGTGAGCCTGCACGCCGCCGTCGCCTCTACTGGGGCTTCTTTTCTGGGCGCGGGCGAGTCAAGCCCGGAGGTCGCTGGCGAGAAGCTGCCTGGCAACTCTGCGACTACTACCTGCCCTATGCTCTGGGCGGTGGGTACATCCTGTCATCGGACCTGGTGCATTACCTGCGCCTCAGCCGGGAATACCTGCGTGCATGGCACAGTGAAGATGTATCGCTGGGTGCTTGGCTGGCACCCGTGGATGTGCAGCGGGAACACGACCCGCGCTTCGACACAGAGTACAAATCACGGGGCTGCAGCAATCAGTACCTGGTGACACACAAACAGAGCCCGGAGGACATGCTGGAGAAGCAACAGATGCTGCTTCATGAGGGCCGATTGTGCAAGCAAGAGGTGCAATTGCGCCTCTCCTATGTCTATGATTGGTCAGCACCACCCTCCCAGTGCTGCCAGCGCAAGGAGGGCATTCCCTGATGTCACTGCATGTGCTAGGGCCTCTCCGGACCCAGGTCAAGCTGCCTGGACAGTCTCGCCAATTGTCTGGGGTGAGCCTGGTTAATACAATTACTGTTGAGGCCTTGGGACCTCAGTTCATTTACGGATGGCCAGAGGCAGCTAACAACATCTAGTCCGTTCCTTGGAGGGTATGCTCATTCGTGGTCTTGTGTAAGGCCTGCCCAGGGGCATCTTGTATGGGTTTGTACATTGCATCTGCACCCCACACACACCCCAGTGTAATGCCACCTATCAGCCGTCTGGGGTGTGAGGGCAGGGGGCCTTTGCCCTTGATGAGTTTATGGTACTGCATTCCGTCCCTACTTACGATGTGCAGCTCACTGCGCTTTTTCGCAGACTGTTGGATTCATCTGTGTATTGCCATCAAAGTGTTACTTGCCAAAATTGTCATTGTATCGTTTGGACAAAGATCCATTCTGTTGTGTCTCCTGTTATGTACAAGTCTGAGATTTGACTTGATTTTCAAGTCAGCTAGCTTAGAGAGTATTTTGTCTCTGAAGATAGTTTGGTAAATGTAATTCAGTTTCCTTGAAAACTATTTATAAATATTGTAAATTTGTGTAGATAAGATTTTTAAGTTGAAAGCTTAACTTGTGTGGTGGTGCACAACTTTAATCCCAGCACTCAGGAGGCAGAGGCAGTTAGGTCTCTGAGTTCAAGGCCAGCCTGCTCTGCGGAGAGAGTTCCAGGACAGTCAGGCCTACACAGAAAAACCCTGTCTCAACCTCCACACCACCCCCCAAAAATAATTTGAGTTTGTGCAAGTCTTAATTTTTTTAACTTTTTAAGAAAAATACTTTAATGTCAAAACTTGTATCTGTGTATTAATCTATCGACACCCTGAGTGGCCAACCAGTTGCTGGACATATTTAAAACATAGAAAATTATTTCAACTGTCCATTTCTCTTTCAGGTCTCCTAATAAGTCCCTTTGTTTTTGTTTTTCTGAATAGACCACTTTTAAGGCTTTTCAGAGAGCATGAGCTTATGACTTTAAGGCACTTGGCAACTAGGATGTCCACACAAAGTTTGTCTTTCAAATATGCTTGGTTTGTTCACACAAACATTCCTAACAATATCTAAGTTAAGGCAGAAGCAGGTGGATCTCTGGGAGTTCAAGGCCAATTTGGTCTGCCTATTGAGGAAACCTGTCTCAAAAAAGAAAAGAAAGACAAAAACCCAGACGTCTCACCAAGCTGGGACCAGTTGTTTGGGCAGAAATGCTGCTGCAGGTTCCACTGAGGAATCTCCAGTGAATATATTACTGAAGCGTGCGTGCTTGACCACTGCCCACTGTGCCGTCCCGTCCTTCACTTGTGATAGACAAAGGATGGCACCAGTCAAAGTCCAGGAGATCCTTGAGAGTGTAAGCCGATGGCCAGCACTAACAGGCAGGCTTGAGGGGCCAAGCATCAGTGGTCACTGAGGCCAGGACCACAAAGAGAGTCTTGAGTCCTCTTGGTGTCAACACGAACTATAGAAGCCTCTTACAGGAACAGTGCGATCCTAGAGACCATTTCCAGACTTCTGATTTTTGTATAATTTCACTGGGTAGCCGCTTTGGACTAAGGGGTCATTGGCATACCATCCCCACCTTGGGGTTAGCTCATTAGCATACCACGACCTGAATTAGGCTTGTATGTGGACTGCCAGGGGGCTTGTGATGGAGGAAGGTCATTGGTTAAATAAAAAGAAACTGCTTGGCCCTCATTGGTTAGAAGATAGGTGGGAGGAGTAAACAGAACAGAACGCTGGGAGGAAGACGAAGTGAGCTCAGACTCCACAGCTCTCCTCTCGGGAGCAGACGCCTCAGAGAGACGCCATGCTCCCAGCTCCCAGCTCCCAGGCAGACACATGCGATGAAGCTCTGACCCAGGATGGACATAGGCTAGAATCTTCCCGGTAAGCGCACCTAGGGGCGCAACACAGATGATTAGAAATGGGCTAAATTAATATGTGAGAATTAGCCTAGAAGAGGCTAGATAGAAATGGGCCAAGCAATGATTAAATACAGTTTGTGTGTTGTTATTTCGGGCATAAGCTAGCCATGTGGGCAGCCGGAGTGCTGGGGACGCAGCCCCGCCACTCTTATTTACTACAAATGGCGCCCGACGTGATGGACTAAACCCACTTAAAAAACCTGAGAAGGCTTAAAAATAAGGGAGACAGAGTTTAACACAGATTTTTGCTGTTTGTTGGTGGCGTGCTGTAGAGAGATTTCCTGATTCGGCAACAGTAGCAGAAAAAACGCTGTGTCATTTTAAAGCGCGACTTCCTGGGGCTGTGCCGCCATTGCGATCTCTGTCTGGCTCCTGCGGGAGACAGAGCTTTTGAATAGAGCATTTGGAGTAAAGTGCTACAATTTTTTTGATGGCAACTAGACTCGCTGTGTTCTCCGGTCTGCTATGCTTGTTAGAGGCTCTCATCTAAGAGAGACTTCCTGACTCAGCTTTAGCTGCAAAGATTGCAGCTCTTTTAAGAGGTCCTGCCACGAAACACTTAAACAATGTTGACGAAAAGCTGAACGCATGCTTTTTGGTTTTAAGCCATAGCAGGAAAAAAGCTGAGCCATTTAAAAATGCCGGCTTTCTGGGCTGTCCTGCCAGGGCAAACTCTGACTCTTTTTTTTTTTTAAATATTTGTATGCTTTATTTAACTTTATTTTATGTGCATTGGTGTGAAGGTGTCAGATCCCCTGCAACTGGATCTTCGGACAGTTGTGAGCTGCCATGTGGGTGCTGGGAATTGAACCCGGGTGCTCTGGAAGAGCAGTCAGTGCTCTTAACCACTGAGCCATATCTCCAGCCCCAAACTCTGACTCTTTTACGCAGGCGGTTTGTGCGGTTTGCAAGGACAGGCTGCTGAAGCTCGCTTGCTGGCAGGGACCTTGAAATGCCATAGATTTGTGGCAGTAAACATGGCTACAGCCAGTACCTCAGCCATGAGGCTGGAAAGCTGAGGAATGGACTGGATCTAGCTGGCAAAGCCAAGGCTTTAGTCCTACTGAGATTGCTTGGTAAATTAAAGACTCATGTGATCAGGAAAACAGAGAGAGATACAGTAAAGAGAGCGTCAAAGACAAACAAAAATTTTAAATGATTTACAGCGTGTTAAAAATATATACAGACTAAAAGTTGAAGTTCTTAAAGTAAAAAACAAAAAAAAAAAAGGAAGAGAGTTGTTGTGTGTGGTAGTACACACCTTTAATCCCAACACTTGGGAGGCAGAGGGAGATTGACCTCTGTGACTTCAAGGTGTGGTAGCACATGCCTTTAATCCCAGTGCCTAGAAGGCAGAGACAAACAGATCTCTGTGAGTTCAAGGTGTAGTAGCGTACACCTTTAATCCCAATGCCTGGGAGGCAGAGACAGGCAGATCTCTGAGAGTTTAAGGACAGCCTGGTCTACAGAGTTATTCCAGGTCAAAGATACAGAGAACCTGTCTCAAAAAGCAAAAAAATAAAAGTAAAAATAAACAAAATAGAGGTTAAAATAAAGCGCACAAAGATGGAAAATACACAGAGAATTTTGATACTGTATGCTATTATGCTCTCTTTGAATTATTTGAATGCTGAGAAAAGAGCAACAGCTGCTAAAAGATATTTGTTTATAAATGCTGCTGAACTAATCCAACATAGATACTTTGAAAATGCCTTGACTTTGAAATTTGGATCTAAGGACATGATGCTTTGGAAAGGAGTTTCTTATTTTGTTTTCACAGAGGATGAGACCCTGTTCATTTCTTCTGTTCCGATTTGGTATGATGGACCACACCCTCCTGAAGGGTTGGTGTGAACACCTTCAGAAAATTGCTTCGCTCAACTCCCAACTGAGATGAAACTAGCACACAGGTTATACCATGAAAGACCTAATTAACGATGCCCCCATTCAGCAGGAAGCAGTTTGGAGAGAAATAACTGCGCCCATATTCCCAAAAAATGTTTATAAATGTTCTTTTACATTTAAAGGGGGATATGATATAGGTATGAATAATTTGCATTAGTATAGATTTTGCTTTATTGATAGAGATTTAAAGTCAATTTTGTTATATGTATAAGTGTTTCTGATATTGATTAAGGTATTGTGATTGTGTAGTTCATTATTAAAATGTAATGTATATTCAGGAAATATAGGTTGTTGATGGATAATCATAAATAATAGTCAAGTTTGTAGTCATGTTACTTAATATTTTCTAGATGTGCATAGATATATTTTAGATAGACATTCTTCATATTTTTCAAAGATTATAGAATATGGCATTTTAAATGTTTTAATAACTTAGGACCTTTCATGACAATGAGACACTCTACTCCTGGCAGCACAATCTACTTCAAGAGGAAGATGGGCATCGAAGAGGCTCGTTATGGAGTTTGATAGCCATTTGGGCAAGAAACTGCTCTTGCCTGGACTATTGCATAAACTGGACACAGAGAACCCACAGAGAGAGGACTACTGAACTTGCCTAAGGTGAGATGATCTTTCGGGGTTCCTGATTCATGAAAGAGTCTGCGAGACATTCTGCAGGACACAACAGATAGTGACTGAACTGACTTTGAATTTTCCTGCTTTATGGAAATGTCTGCTGGATAGCATGGGCCTGAAGGCTAAAGATGGATGCCCCAACGGTACAGAGGAACTTTGGGTGACTGTCCAGGCAGTGAGATGTCTCTGTCATTTCTAGAGTTTTAAAAGTTGCTTTTTTCTTGTTTGCTTAGGTAGTATTCTATCTTTCTGGAGTCTTTGACGGAGTTAAGAATAGTTAGTTATAGTTATAGTTTTCCTTAGTTATGATAAAGATTATTGTAACTTTTACTTGATAACTGTTTTGTTATATGTAATTTTGCTATGTTAAAGTTAAAGCCTTTTTTTTTTTTTGTTTAAACCGAAAAAGGGGAAATGATGGAGGAAGGTCATTGGTTAAATAAAAAGAAACTGCTTGGCCCTCATTGGTTAGAAGATAGGTGGGAGGAGTAAACAGAACAGAACGCTGGGAGGAAGACGAAGTGAGCTCAGACTCCACAGCTTTCCTCTCGGGAGCAGACGCCTCAGAGAGACGCCATGCTCCCAGCTCCCAGCTCCCAGGCAGACGCACGCCATGAAGCTCTGACCCAGGATGGACATAGGCTAGAATCTTCCCGGTAAGCGCACCTAGGGGCGCAACATAGATGATTAGAAATGGGCTAAATTAATATGTGAGAATTAGCCTAGAAGAGGCTAGATAGAAATGGGCCAAGCAATGATTAAATACAGTTTGTGTGTTGTTATTTCGGGCATAAGCTAGCCAGGCCGCTGGGGTGTTGGGAACGCAGCCCCGCCGCCCGTATTACTACAGGCTTGCTTCTGAGGCCTGGGTCTTATCAAAGCTATCTGGTGGCAAACTCAAACATATTATTTCAAGCTCCTATCTTTATAGTATGGGATCAAGTTTTGTGGCCTGTAAGGGTCAGATTAGGAGGCCTAAAACACTTTCTGTAGTGATCCTGAAGAAGGGATGAGCTGGCCTGTCTAGACATTGTTCTTGTCTGTGAGATGCAATGGGGCTTAAAGGGGTCATGCCCTCTGTGGCAGCATGAATAAGACTGACCCACAAAGGTCCATAGGGAGTGGCACTATGAGGAGTTGTGGCCTTGTTGGAGAAGGTGTGACTTTGTTGGAGGAGGTGTGTCACCGGGGGGGGGGGGGGTGGAGGGGGGGAAGGACTTTGA